TATATATATATATATATATATATATATATATATATATATATATATATATATATATATATATATGCATATATATATATGATATATGATATGTATATTAAATATTACATATACATATATATATATATATGATATATGATATGTATATATATATATAAATATATACATATATATATATATGTATATAGATTTTGCATACGTATCTGTATTTTCAGTCTCAAGGGTGCTGTACTCAGAGTTTTAGCATTGCCATATTCAAGTGCGTCGAGGGCGTCATTGATTGTGTGGTATCTTGCTCATCCCGTATCGTGGTATATCTATATTCAAATGTTTTGTTCATGTACGAGTATTTCTGGACAACCGCGCTGCACCTCCACACGGTGAATACTCCTATAACACACTTATATATATGTATATATATAATATTATATTGGTTATCAATATTCATATTTATATATGTATAATACTATATATATATATTTATGTATACTTACATAAGTGTATTACTATTAGTATTGTTATTATCATATATGTGTGTTATGATTGGCTCTCGTGGTGTTACGTACTTGATTGCCTCATCTTCATCATCTCCTTCATTACAGCTGATTGACAAGATTATCGCCATGGCGGATAATAATGTCGCTCCCGGAGTCAAGGTGTGTTCGACGAACAGAAGTTACAGAAGAAAGTACCATACCTCAAAGATTTGATCGGCTATTGGAGTTTAGTGCGGAGTATGAGTGATGTTTCTCCACAGTTATACGTCTGTTGTTTTTGGGGATTTAGATTTGTAGGGGGGGGGGTGTTTTTTTTGCTTTGTTTTTTTGCCAGATCCTCAAACGACTACAGTGGATTGCATACCTTTCTTCTTTTTTGTGCAAGTGATTTGGTGGATATCTGCTGATATGACATACACTTCAACGTAACCAATCGAGCTGTTGGACTTTTAAAAGCAGTGGTAATGTGTAGCAACTGATGACTATGCCAGTTTATTGTCACTCACAAGCTAGTACGTACTTGTCCCGTACAGGAGTTTGAAGAGGTGCTGCAGTTGGTGGTTAAATACAAGGATCTGCATGGCATCGATGTCTTGCTTAAGGCCGCAAAGGTAAAATATTAGTGTGTTCACGCGTTTTACAACATGTTCATCTGTATGTACATATTGCCATAATATTGTGCTTATATATATATATATATATATTGTGTATATTTTCGCGAATATGATACGTGTACACTAGATTGTAAATGAATGTGATTTTGCTATATGTAACAATGTATTAAAAAACACAGGCATAGCGTAATTTGCATGCGTACAAGCAAGTTTATATCTACTCGGTTAGGATACGCAGTTATTTATGTAAGTACAAGATTCGGCAACCTTTTAGGATATGAATAGCAGTTTTGGGAGTCCACGTGAAAGGGAACACATCACCCGAGAAGGATTCTCTACTGCTAAGTCATGCCTTTGTATTATCTAAGTTCACAAATTGGTATAGTTACAGCCGTAGCGGTGTGCGTGCATGGTATTATATTCTATTTCTGTACCTGTTCTGAAGTTTTTGTTGCTCGTCTCTTAAGGGCAACGATGTCAGAATGGTTGTTCTAGATTGGTCCCACAATGTGACCACAGATAGAGGTGGCCTACCTTGTGGGGTGTGGGGTGTACACTTGTTTGCAAGCGCAGTGTATGTGCGTGTGTCTATTTCATATATATATATATGTATATATGCGTGCACAAACTACTTGTATGTGTTTATAAGAGTAGTTTGAACTTAAGCCCGTGTAGAGCTGAGTACCCGTGGCCTGGTATATATTTCACACACCACCAGCACTACAGACCACTCACCCACTGCCTCTGTTCCTCTCAGGAGAAGGGCCACTACGACAATCTTAACGAGGAATTGGTCGACAAAGCATATGGGATGATGGAAGCATAGAGGGCACATTCCAGTCCCATTCTGTGCATTGGTGTCCACAATGTGTGCTGAGGAAGCGCTTTTGTGGCGTTATCCCGTCTCAGCACTGTCTTGTAATCTTCACAAAACAATACTGGCAATAGTCTTGATGCAGAGATATGCGCACAGAGGAGTGTAGTAGATCAACCAGGGGTGTGCAGCCGACCGTTGTCTCGAGATCGACACGTTTAGGAGAAGCAGGAAGCGACCAATAAACACAGAGATTGCTATTTGAAAAACTTTTATCAGACTCAGATACTACACGTGTACGCACAGCATCGCGGGTTTCTATGTGTGAATAGATGTTCGAGATTGAATTGTCTGAACGTTTCTGCTTTCCACACTGTCCGATTCTGCGAGTATGTCTTATGAAGGGTTGTATGAGTGATGAGACCGCAAACCCTCGCGGATAAGATTTCGGTGCAGGAGTGTCCTAAATCAAGCTGTTTGTATTTATATCAGTTACCTATCACATCAAGTATCAATCCGATCTGCTATACTAATTTTAGTATTATTATTCATCTTGCTTTATTCATGAGATTTACATTTGAGGACTTGTTCCCCTTCCTCCGTTTATGTGCTTTCTATGATGCACCAAAGACCCAGCATTCTTGAAAGGGCATAACGATAACTGTACGGTTGTATATTGTATGTGGGAATATATACTAGAGAGCGTTTCAATCCAGAATCGTATCTGAACTACATATGTATTTACTACAACACTGTTCTTCATTATGTACATACTCGCATTAAAATACCATCTCAATTTTGATTGGTTGTTGAGTTACGTTTGCCGGTCTTTCATTCTATTTCAGGGTTTAGGGTTTTTGCCACTGATTGTGATTTGTTGTTGTTGAGGTTGTATTTACCTGTTATTTGTTGACCTTCATTCAGTGCACAAGATGTGCACACGACTACACACAGCCCCAATTCCAATCCAAGAAATACCCTGCCCACTTATTGCACGCGACCACACTCGCCTTTTTAGCTGAAAAAAAAAGAAGAAAATCTGAATGAAGTATTAGCGACCATGTCCAGTGACGGAGACAGCACACATGGTGAACAGAGGCGTACCGCACATGCAAGAGACGAGAACTTGCAATCCCAAACAGACCATGCGGAAAAACATACCTCAGAACCACATGCTACACTCGTAAAAAGAGGTTTGGGTGCGGCTGAGTCAGGCGCGTCTAGTAAGAATGCAGAGACACACGCAGGAGATACTAGTATGAGTAGTACGGAAACAAATGCAGACAGCGCAGGAGTGGACCGTGATGTGCACACCACAGCCACGAACGCGTGCGTCGATGCAGCACAGCACGAGCCGAAGCTGTCTCTACATGTGGGGCATTTCGCATCGTTCACTAGCGAAGCAGACGATGGAGAGGAACAAATACCGGTGGATGTACATATACAAACTGATAACGAGCATAGCAACAACGGTGAAGGGAGTGACAGTGTAGGTGGTGATGGGGGGATGGAGTGTGCTGTTCCGGAGAGTGCATCGAATACTGAGGTTGGCATGACTGAGGTAGTTGATGAGATCATTGCAGAGGCTGTACAAGCCGCTAAAGATGGAAATAAAGAGAGATATAGTAGAGACTCTGGTCCTGAGGATGAACCAGAAGACGGTACTGAGGACAATGTACGTGCAAGTACGAACAACCCGCATGTGCTATACGATGACAATCAGGGTGCTGCAAAAAGTAGTCCTGCACCACCACGTGTACGTACGCCAGTCGACCTGTCTCACTTACACAGTGCCCTATCAAACTCTATTGACAGCTCCCACCCAACACACACAGTAGATTCAACTCGTGTACCTGGTACGCTCAAAGGGAGCGTTACTTCTGGGCATGCTGAAAAAATGGGAGATACAGTACAGAAGGGTAGCGCCGCACAGGCTTTGCCGGGAGATGGGGTGGTGTCGGCTCATAGAGTCCATATGGACACAGGGTCCCACACTATACAGCAAGGTATGGACAAGCAACTGTCTGTGTACATATGCAGCTCTGTACATATACATTCTGCATTTGTTATCAACAATTACTTTGACAATACGGTTGGGTTGAATAAGTTGTTGGTGAACAGAGGCTATACCTGTAGAAGTGATTAGGCTCACACACTAGTGGGGAAGCGGGTTTTTTAATTTTTGCGACTGTTCCAGTTGAACAGTGTGGACCATATAAGTACTGTACATGGACTTCAGATCCAATTCACGTCAACGTAATTTCAATGTACTCATCTCAGCCACAGTTGAGTGGTTATACTGACTACGAACATACAATATACAGCAACAGATACGCCTACATCGCAAGGACACTCTCCCTCTACATTCTCACTAGCAGATGAACTCAACACACAGGCCACTGTTCTGGCACAGGATGTTTCACGTGTGACTGAGGGCCTGAGACTGAAGATGGGCATGGTATGTGTACCTGTTAATCATTTTATGAATAAGAGAATATATATATATATA